GAGCGCCCGACTCGCGGCCCAGGCCCCTGCCCCTCATCCCGAGCCCTATGTGAGCCAGGCTGCCGCCTCTGGGTGGGCACACTCAGGGTCTGGGGCTTTGGTGTGACCTGGGCTTGCCCTCCCCCCATCACTGCACAGGACAGCCACACACAGACTGGCCCTGGGCCTGCGTCGGCAGCTCACAACGGCACTACGTGCAAGACTTCGGTCGTGCGCGTCCAGCCACTCTCTGGAAGAGCAGAGGCCTGTTGTAGGCTGTGCCAACTCGTGAGCACTCAGGGTGGCTGAGCAGCCTCTGGCCCACATCTGGCAAGGTAATTTAGCAAAGAGCTGGTGACTGGTGCTGGGAGGAGCTCACTCTAAGTGGTGACCCTGCGGGGCGAGCTATGAAGCCTGCAACGATATCTGCAGCGGTTAACCTTAACTGAGCGTGCCTGGCAAGTGACTTAACCTCAGTTTTCCTCATCTGTGAAATGGGGTGTAAAGGCAGGACACCCCATTCCTTCATGAGGATTAAATGAGTTAATGCAGGAGAAGGGCTTACAACAGTACTTGGCAAGAAGGTACCAGGAGATGTTTTCTGGAGCTCTGGGTCAGGCCTTTCACCAGTATTGCTGACAAAGGGAAAGCCCTATCTCCTCAGAGAGTGTGAATAGGCAGTTTGTGGAATGGGAGGTTGGGGACAAAAGCAATAATTTAAATTGACTATTGTTCCCTACATGTCATTTTAAAAATGAACCGGAGGGGTGGGGGTGGGGTGGGGAGCAAAGTGAGGACTGCGGGTGCGGGCTGGGGTGTGGTGACATGCCCCCAGCCTCCGCTGCCTGTGAATCATAAACAGTGCCACAAAGCACTGTTACCTTAACTAAAGAAAAGCATCCGTAACTTCATAAAGTATGGAACTATGAAGTAACTGTCGCTAAGTACTCTATGCAGCACCTGTAGCTTACACATGTTCACACGCCTGCTGGAGAGCTTCCTGTGGACTGCGTCCCTGGGAAAAAGGGTTGTCATGCAGCCAGCTAGGTTTCCTGAGCACCTACTGTGTGCTGGGCCCTGGGGGACTCTGCTGTCTGGTCCCAGAACACTCAGTTCAGTGGGTATGACAGAGACGAGGCACGTGGTGAGGAAATGACACACGTCCTGCGCCAGGTGCCATCACAGCAGGGCAGCACAGGAGAGGAGCCGGGGAGGGACGAGCCGGGTATGGAGGCCGAACTGAGAACCGAGGGTTGCGGTCGAGGTTCAGAGGGGACCCCACCCTCAACTAAAAGATACCGAAACCCTAACCCCAAGGATTTCAGGATGTGACCTCATTTGGAAACAGGGTGTTCACTAGGTCATAAAGTCAAATGAGGCGACTGGGGTGGCCCTTAAGCCAGTAAGACACAAGAAGGGGAGGTGGCCAAGACGGGCAGGCAGAGACGGAGCGCAGTCTCTCTGAGGAGCGCAGTCTCTCTGAGCAGCACATCACCAGAGCTAGAGCGGGGGTGGGGCAGATTCTCCTTAAGGCCCTAACAAGGAACCAGCCCTGCTCACACCCAGATCTTGGGCTTCTCACCTTCCAGAACGGGAGACCATACAGTCTTGTTGCGGTGGCCCCAGCAAACCAATCCAGCAGTGGCTGCCCAGGCAGAGGGCTGGGGAGCCCGACCACACAGGGTCTGGGCAGGAGTTTAGACTAAGCGCAAGACACTCCGGGTAAGGAACGAGCTCAGGAAGTGCGAGCCTATGAGAGACGTGGTCTCGTCTTCTAGTTCGCCCGCTCTTCCTGCTGCTCCACACCAGTCTGCCAGCAGCCTCGGGCGCTCTCCGGAGAGCCCACCTGGAAGCCAGCCCCCAACTCCCACCTTGGCCTCCACCTGCACCCTGCCCGCTGCCAGCAGCTCTGTCCTGGCCTCCCTGTTCCTCGCAGGCTCCACAGAGCCCCGGGGGTCCTTGCGGGTCTAGACCATGTCCGCCTGTGCTCGACCCCTTCCAGCAGCTCTCCCTCCCCCAGTGGCGGCCCGAGAGCCTCCGCCTGACTCCATGGCCTCTCTGACGGGCTTGGGCTAGCCACAGGCCGAGCACGCTCCGGCCTCAGGGCGCCTGCAGCTGCTATTCCCTCTGCCTGGAAACCCTTCATCCAGCCCCTGTGAGACCTGCAGCATCTCCCCCTTGTTTACCTATTTATTTAGCTCCCACCTGGAATGTGAGCTCCCAAGGGCAGGGTCTCTGTCCTCCTGTTCACAGCTGGACTCCCAGGTCCTGCTGGGTGAGTGAGGTGTCGCCCTCCTCCCTGCCCCAGGGCCCCTGGGGTCAGCTCACTTGGGGTCCAGGCACTTACTTCTTTGGGTCAGTGAAGGGGAGTGGCCGTGGCGGGGGCTCCTCCGTTCTCTTCCACCCTGCCGGGTGCTTATTGCGCACGGGCTGCTTGGAGAAGAAGGACTTGGGGACGGAGGTGGACAGCTGGAAGGGGCTGGGCTGGGCCAGCTGTGCGGGCCGAGGGGTCTCTGAGCTGGCTGTTTTGTAAACCTGAGCGGGGTAGCCAGCCCTTGAGCTCATGTCACTGCAAAGTGAAAACCAAAGAAATAAACAATCAAATCCAGCCCACATTTCGCAAAACCAACCTGGTTACATCTACTCTCGGGAAGCAAAAAAGTTCATTCACCCAAGAGCCTAATACATGACTGCTGTGGAAAATTTCAGTGCCTGACATCTACATGGAGACGGGGTGCGATCGGGAACACCCTGCCAGCACATCCGGGGCCATCCCCGGTGGGTGGATGCGCCCCGCCAGACACCCGGTTTCTGGGGCACGACTCACAGGCCTGGAGGTGGCCCGTCGCCTCTCTGAGGTGACCACAGCCTGCGGTTTGCTGCCGTCCTCACAGCCCTCTCCTCTGCATTCAAAACACGCACCGACAGGACCAAAGGAGCGGGGCCTTGGGTGGGGAGAACTGGCTATGTAACAGGGATCATGGTCACACACTGATCTGTACTTGGGATTTTTTTTTTTTAAACCTAGACTATCCTGCCCCGAGCCTCTTTCAGCATCTTTTGAAGACCTGCCACACCTCAGGCGCCACTCCAGCTGGTCCAGTCTACGCATACGGCGTGATACCCGAAACGCTGGCATCAAGGCTACAACAGCCTTGCACTGATCACGAGGCCCCCCTCAAGGGCCCCCCACTGCAGTTCCCATCGAGGCCGATCAACTTTTCAGTTCTTAACACACTTCCATGTCAAGTCTGTGCCCTTGGAGGAAATCTCTTCGGAAGGTTAACTTAGGGTATTCAGGGGGTGGGACTGTTTGCTACTTTTGGAAACCCTCTTTTCAAAAGCACAACACTGACAGGACCAAGTAGCTGAGCATGCTGCACACTGACTGGAGGCACCAGCGACCCACGAAACACAGTGCGTGAGAAACTGCTGAACCCCAGGGAAGACTGGGGGGAGTCTGCGGCTCTGGGGTTCCTCCACCCGCTTGCCCAGTTCAGTGAACACGGGGTGTTCCGACAGAACCAAGCATACGACGATGCACGAGTTTCGGAAGAAGAGAAAAAGTCTGAAGAGGAAATAGCCGAAATGCCCCCCATTTTATGAGAAACATTCATCTAATCTTTCTATCCAAGCAAGACAAACCCAGGGACGTCCACATTTGGGAAAACAGGTGCAAGTCAGACAAGGTCAAAATCGCAGAGCAGCAAGAGGCGGCTGCAAGGGCCCAGCTAGCGCGAGGCGGCCGAGCACAGGGTGCCAAGGCCTTTCCAAGTGCGGCGAGAAGGTTCCATCCGTGGCCGTGCACACGCCTCAAAGCTACCGTGAGTGGGAAAGGGCACAGAGTATATACTTAGTGGGCTTTTTCTTGGTTTTGCTTTTCATTCCAGAAAGGAAATGGAGGTTTTCTCCTATCCATGGGTCATGGGGCAGTTTTGTGGGCCTTCACCATTACTAAGGGAAAAAGAGAAATGGCGTCGAATAGAAAATGGTGGCGTGGCGCGTCTCAGGTGGGGGCAAGTGGCTTTGAGAAAGGGCACTCCAGGTGGCCACGCTGGGAGGAAGGCAAGTAACTCTTCCGGTTCTGGGTGACGGGCAAAAATGTTCCAAGGAATCTGACTGGTAAGGCCTGGAGAAAGTCTCTTGGGGAGCGTGCCTTAGCTGTTATCGCTAGAGCCGGTAAAGCGGGCGGAATCAGTCTCAGAACCTCAACCACGTAAATGGCACAGGTAAGAAGTGGCCTCTGACTGCCGTCTCCTTCCTCCAGGCACCCACGGGCCTCCCTGGCTTCTTCAACAGTCTACTCACAGGGAGCGTGTGGGTGCTTCCCACTTGTTTGTGAAGCCAACGGCAGGCATTGTAAGCATGTTGTGACTTCAAGGGGCTGTTCTGGAGACGTCTCCTCGTCAGCCCCTCTGGCTGGCCCCTCTTCACAGCTGTGGAGGGTCTACGCTGTGAACAGATCCTTGTCGATTTGAGCCTGAACTTCTACTTTCTATTTCTCTACCCTGTCTACTGGGGTTCCAGCCTTTCCGTGAGCTGAGAACCAAGATGATTCTAGAAGCAAGCCTGGGAGTAGATGCAGAGCCTGCCTGCCTACCAGTCGGCTCCACCCACTGCCCCTTCCAGAATGGGTTCTCCACTCCCCTGCCCCCTGTGGCCGACACTGTGGGTGCCACCCCAGCCCCCCATCTCAGTCCTGTAAATGAAGGTTGCTTCAGTCATCCCTGCATGAGGAAGGGGGCCTGACACCCAGGCCGGGGGTGTATCCTGAAGGGTCGCTACCCAGTGAGACATGGGTATGTGTCTCTTGGCTGATTCTGGGGAAGCTTTCTTTGCTGAAAAACACACATGCCTCACAGAAAATGTCACCTCCCCTTCTCCTGGACACTGTCCAGTGCAGCGACAGCCCCTGTGAGACCCTGAGGGGAGCTGGTGTATAGCATAAGGGGGCAGAAGAGCATGGGGGAAGCTGGTCCCTGAGTTAATAAACTGCCCCGGCGCCGGCCCTCTGCAGCCCAGGATCGTGTTCTGTGAGAGAATAGGTCTTGGCAGCTGAGCTGAGATCTCCTGCTATTTGTAGCCGCAGGCATGTCCCTCCACCTCTCCAAGCCTCAGCTGGTACCTGGGGCTTCAACAGAAAGCCAGGCCCTTGAGCCCACTGAGGGGCACCCGTCGCCACTCTCCACCACCATGAGCTGTGTGGGCTCTCGCCCCGCCGGCCGTCACAGAACAGACACTTCCCAAAGCCCTGGTGCGGCCAGGGGTCCGCCACAGGCCTCGGCTTTGGCTTGATAAATGAGACAGTGGTGGGAGAACACTGGGCGCTCACCTGACCCAGGTTCTGATCCCAGTTCCAACACACACAGCGAGTCCCTTCCCCTCCCTGGGCCTCAGTTCACTCCTCTGGGAAATGAGGTGGCAGCAGCAGCAGCATCACCCGGGCAGAGGGGCCAGGCCGCGCCCGGGATGTGCCCCCTGGGTGACAATGATGGAGGGTGTGTGTGTGTCAGGGCCCAGCCCAGGACTGGGGGGCAGGCACCCCACTCTACACACCACTCCTGGCTCACTGCGAGGTTACGCATTTATCTGTGCTCTATCGTGGGGAGCACTTCAGATTTTGTTGGGGTCAAAAAGTCAAAACTTCCTCAGACTGATGGAGAATCGCAAAGCTGCACAGGCTGGTTCAAGGCTTTAATTGGGACAAGAGGCCCCTCAGGAGGAAGGGCAGTGGCCGGGCCCGCGAGTGTGGCCAGCCCAGTTAATTATCTTCTGGGCACTGCTTCACTTAGTTGCCCAAGCAAACCCCGAGCCAGGCAACTACCCATCGGGACCAAGCTTCAAGTGGGGAAATGGAGGCCCAGAGCGACGAAGGGGGCGAACCCAGGTACTCTGACTCAGAGACGCCACAATTAGCCGCCAGCTTGTCCTTTCAGTGACAACAGCAGTCACGATAAATACACAGTCAGTGAAAATAAAAGCAAGCAGCTGGTGCTGTTTTTGGATCAGCCACGCGCAGGCCCTGTGTTCAGCGTTGTTTAAGTGCAAGAGGTGGTTCATCCTCCCAGCCTTAGACCACAGGTCCTACGACCCCCATGTTGTGGGTGAGGAAACTGGGCCTCAAGAGAACCAAGGGGCCCGACAGAGATCCCACAGTTGGCATGGCTGCGAGCTGGATGCACTTGGCCTTGACTGTGGGTCTGTCTCCCTCTGCCCCACCCCCTGCCCCCGTCCCCCTTGTCTGCACTGGCTGGAGGAGAGTCAGTCCCTGCCCGTCCTTGCTGGGATCCTCAGGCTCCTCAGAAGCGGCCCTGAGTGAGAACATTCGACCCGGGGCCTGGGAGCAGGGCGGCAGGACTTCAGGATGTGGAAGCCGAGCACTGGGCAAGGACTTGCTGGCTCAAAACCGATGTGAGACACAACTGCCGCACACGCCCTCCACCAGCCAGCGTGCTGCACCCCCACGCCGACACCGCCAGAGGGGGCCTGCGAACACGTGGGGAGATCACGGCCCCTTCCTCTCAGGACTCGGGCTCTGCCTGTCTCAGGCAAGCGCCAGAGTCCTCCGGGGCCCACAGAGCCCACCGCCTCGCCCGCCCTCTGCCCTCAGCTCCTCCCCCGCTCCCTCCTTCCCACTCACTCTGCTCCAGCCACACGGAAGCTGCTTGGAACACGCCAGAAACATTGTGCCTCAGGGACGCTGTAGGGCTCTTGGCCCCCTCCAAGGTCTCCGCATGGCTCCCCGCTTCCCCGGGGTTCCAACAGACGGCCTAGGCTCCTCTTCCCGACTGGACCGCGCCTGTCCGCGGCGGCCTGGCAGGCGTGACCCAGCCCGCCAGTGACACAGGCGGTGGGGTGCCGCAGTGACCCAGCCCAGGGCCCTCACATCGCCTTCCAGGGCTGTGCCCTCAGAAGGGTATCCCGGGGACTCCTGGCACAGCCCGGGGAAGCCAGGCCACGTGCTTTCCTGCCTGCCCGGGAACGCCGCGGCGTCAGCTCCACGTGGAGCGGGCGCCTCTGATTGCCCCTAAACAGCTCTGACAAATTGCTCTGGAAACCCAGGAAGCTTCGGCGTGTGCCGCCTCAGGAGAGGGCGGGGGTGGGGGTGGCCAGGTGGCTGCGTGCCTAGGATGGCTCAGCCCACTGCGGTGCCCACAGCAGGCGCCGGCGCCTGGCAGAGTGCCCGGAAGCCGGGCTTCCATGACGAGCGTCTGCAGGGAGAGCCTGTGAAGTCGCTGATGCCACCGACGGGCACAAGCTGCTACAGGCTGCGGCGGCTTCCACGGCAGGGCAGGGCCGCAGGGAGGGTGGGGGTGGGGGCTTCCCTGTTTGGGCAAGGCAGGGCTCACCCCCTCCCGCAGCCTTTGGGGTGTGCTGGCCACCTCAGCTTCCCCTGGCCGTTGAGGGGTTCATTCCCCCCAGAGTAGCCCACAGCGATCTTTTAAAAACTTAAACCAGATGACGTGCTCCAAAGCCTCCCGTGGCTCCCAGGTGCCTCAGTCCAATCCCAGCGTCTGCACATGGCCAGTGTGTCTGCCAGACCTGGCTCCTGCCCATCTCGCCAGCTCA